GGTTAAACAAAGTTTGGCAGATGTGAGTGTGATTCCTGGGTAAATATGACCTCTAAAGCTTATAGTCACATGTGGTTATAATCCCCAAAGAGGTCTTAGTTTGAAAAAAAGAGAGCTGGGGAAGGAATTAGGGGGGTTAAGAGGCATAGTCGCATTAGAAACTGCTCTCTGGGTTTAAATAACAACATTATCTTCTCTGGAACTGAAGCTTACCTCTCATTCCCAGTTTATGTACATCTTATTACTCTTTTGGAGGGTGGGAATAGAAGATTTAAGCAAGAAGTTACTTAATGCAGTTTGCATCAGTAAAGCAGAAGGATTTAATGCTTAAAAATGAAGCTAAAATATATTTACGTTGTTCCTAATGGCTTTTTGTCTGTTAGGACAGAGCAGTAACTTTGTAGCTTGGTGTCTTGTCATATATAGTTAAATGTATCCATGCAGCTTCACTGTCATCCTTTTCCCATTCCTTCTCCAATAAATGGGTAATGTGAAAATTAAGTTAAATGCAGGTTTTTAGAATCTATATTTATAAACCTACAAATCAGATTTGGCTGCATCTTCATTGCACCTCTTTAAAAGCCAACAAGCTGCAGTCCAGTAAACAGAGTTAGTTTTATATGTAAGTGGTTGCCAGCAGCATCTGCTGTGTATAGTCCAGCTGTGCTGTTTGGTATCTTCTTTTTCTCAGCATTTTTATTTCCAGCTTCAGTGATAAAATTATTTGGAAAAGTAAATTTTAGGTAGTAGCAAGTCAAAGGTGTCTCCTTTGCCATCAACATAAGGCCCACATAGGTGCACAATAGCACACCTAGCCATTTGAGGAAGAGCTGATCATCTTGCCTCCTTCAGGGATGAGAGGTAACTTGGTCTGGCCGTGCCATCCCAGTGCTGCAGGAAGCAAACACTGAGAATTTGGATGTTAGAAACGTAGTGACAGAAATGCCCTCATCATTTGGCCCAACCTCAGGCTCCTGCACACCAGCACATCACAGAACCATTTATTAACCAGCCCTAATAAATTTTGTTTTCCTCTGTTTTCTGGCTGGAATTCATAATCACTCCTACACTTGGGGATTTTAGGGATCTAGCGAAAGGTGTATGGCAGCTTCATTTTCAGGTCCTGACACTGGCGGCTGAGCAAAGAGGAGCAGTGAAGAACATAACCACACCGAGGCGGTGGGGATTTGGGTTCTAGGAATGCAGGAGCTGCATCCTGCACTCACTTGTGTGGGTAGGGAGTTTTAGCCCTAATGTCTGTTGCTAAATATTAAATGTCTGTAGGTGGTAGAGTGTATGTAAGAGTGGAGAGAGAACAGCCCATGGGGAGATGTGTCAGTTCCTGGGTGTGGTTGAGGCCTGGGCTGGCTCCTCCACACACTGGTTGTATGAGGTGCAATTCATGTGGAGGGACATTCAGCAAACAGTGGACACTGTAAGAGGCCATCCTCTCCCTTTACAACTATTGCAGTTCTTCATTTCACACTTTACATCTTCATCCTTCCCTGTGAGGATGGTGAGGTATCCTCAGGGATGCCCAGAGAAGCTGTGGCTGCCCCATCCCTGGCAGTGCTCAAGGCCAGGTTGGACACAGGGGCTTGGAGCAACCTGCTCTAGTGGAAAGTGTCCCTGCCCGGGGCAGGGGTTGGGACTGGAGGAGCTTTAAGCTCCCTTCCAACCTTTCAAGGATTCACTGATTTAAACACAAGCAGGGCAAACTGAGCTTCAGTGTGGAGGTGTGTGTTCAAGCTGGTCATTTATATGCCAGGAAGCCAGTCCCCTTTTCAAGTAGAAAACTGAGTAATTAAAATATCAATTATGAATAAAGCCATGAAAGCCATTTTCCTTTTTTCCTTCCCTCCTTGCAGTGCTCAGATGTCGTCAGGACACTCGGTGGCAGTGATGGGCATTGACTTCACCCTGCGATACTTCTACAAAGTCCTCATGGACCTGCTGCCAGTTTGTAACCAAGACGGAGGAAACAAGATAAGGTGAGCTAAGGAACTCCTGCCAGGCAGGAAATACCTAAAACTGTTCTATTTCCCTTTCCTTTTCTTCAACCAGGTGACCCAGAGGTACTTCCCAACTGCACTTATTTTAGGATTCTGGTCCTTTCAATGTGTGTTCTCTGATATCCATTAAAAGTTGTGATTGTTCTTCTCATGAAGATCATGTGGACTTTATCCAAACTGTCATCAGCCAAGCAATCAGGCAGCAGGACAAAACCAGAAGAGAACTGTATTTAGACACCACTGAAATCCTGGGCAAACCCCCTAATTCTTTATTAAATGAACACACTTCCCATTCTCTTCTGTTTGTTTTCATTCTGCTGTTTAGTTACTGTGAGCATCTAATGATGATGTGTTATCTCTAATTGTTTTAACTAGGATTATTAAAATATACTTTTGGTATCTTTTTCTCACAAATACATAGCACAGCATGAGTCAGAAGTAGTCTGAGTTTATTTAGCCCTCTGTGGAACTTAACTGTTCCTCTCTAACCATGGGGGGGACAGGGATAGACTCTGGTTTGGATCTGGAGTAACTTGATAACATGATTTGGGCATTTTTGTTTGTTTGTTTGCTTTTAAACCTTGAATTTGGGAAGGGAAGTGGTTTTCTGTCATCTTCCAGTTCTTTTCTGGTTTAGTTTGGGTAATTTTTAATATATTTTTATGGTGTACCAAAAAAAAATGAGGATTTCTGGTTTGGCATTCCTTCTCCCCAGTCAAAAACTGCTAACAATCAACGAGGTCAGATGCTTTATTCTGTTTCCTCATTCCCTAAATGAGGAATTTAAGCATATCGTTAAATGCTTTGTTAGACCATTCTAATGTAGAAGCTGGATCTAATGCTTACAGCCTCTGTATAAATGCATACAGGTAGAAAGAGACAACTCTTCTAACTATCTGGCAGGCATCTGGGGGTTTTTAATGTATCTCTACTAAACTTTTCTCTCTGGAGCCACTCTGGTGACCACAATCCTACTCCTTCCCCTGTTTCCTATAGCATCTTTCAGGAAAAAAGAGAAAGCACAACATTGCTCCATGAATTTCTAATGCAAAACCCAGTTTGGGTCAGTAAAAAAATCCAACTGAAAGTTTTCATGACTCTGCTGTATACTTGAAGTGTACAGTCCCATCTAGTGAAGCTGATTGCTGTAAGTTATACCTGCTCTCTCCCTCCATGAGCCAATGGCAGGGGGTTGGAACTGGATGAGCTTTAAGGTCCCTTCCAACCCAAACCATTCCATGTTTCTGTGGAGGCAGAGCTTTACACAGCAGACTGCCATGGGAATCACAGACTTTAAAGCATTGCCCGGCCCCAGGCAGGAGGCTGCCACCCCGCTGGGCTCTTCGGGAGCATTGAGTGGTCACATTAACCTCCTCCATTCCCCTTCTGCAGCCACTGATTCTCTTGATCTCGCCTTCCCCAGCACGGCTGTCTGCAGCTATGGAAACGGGAAGTGCCCAAACCAGCACGGATTAAATCCTTGCAGCACACTGGTTTCAGGATAGCAGCACAGATCCGACATGGTTTCCCTGAGAGCACATGGAAAACTAATGGGATGAGGTGAAAAGGGAGAGGAAGGGATGGGAAGGCTGAGGGTGAAACAGGAGTGATTTATCTCCCTGTTAAAATGGAATTCTAAAGCAGGAGGTCATTAAAGGAGAGTGTGAAATATCTGTTTAATTAGTAACATAGTAGATTAATAAATGTCAAAGCTTTCCAAGTTCATTATGCTGCATTTATCATAGAATCCTAGAAATGGTCAGGGTTGGAAGGGACCTTAAAGCTCATCCAGGTCCAACCGCCTGCCACGGGCAGGGACACCTTCCACTAGAGCAGGTTGCTCCGAGCCCTGTCCAACCTGGCCTTGGTTATACCTGGATCTTCCCTGATCAGACAAGACAATGCACTGACCAGTTTTCTGTTTCTAATCCCTTCCCTTTTCAAGTCCTTCATGGTCCAGGCTTGCTGTAACAGTAACAGATTTAAAAGCTTCAGGGAAATACCCAATGTGTTTGTTAAAGACATTTTGTAGCTAATTTGTTTAATATTATTTCAATAATATGAAGCCTTTAAAAATTCTTCCTCTGGATGTAAATTTAAGATCATGTTTATTTCCCTGAGGAGGTCTAACAGGAAACACTCTGCTTGCTTTGTTGTGGCAGGTGCTTTATCATGGAGGACAGAGGGTACCTTGTGGCTCACCCAACCCTCATCGATCCCAAGGGACATGCACCGGTGGAGCAACAGCACATCACGCACAAGGTCTGCCTCCTTTCCTCTTGGTTTACTCCTACCTTGACAGCTTTTTGAGATGGTAAGGGCTGCAGAGAAGCTGCTGTTTGTGTCTGATTTCAATGGCTTAAAGCCCTGTTTTTCACTTAGGAGCCTCTGGTAGCAAATGACATTCTGAACCACCCCAACTTCGTCAAGAAAAACCTCTGCAACAGCTTCAGTGACAGAACAGTTCAGCGGTTTTATAAATTTAATACCAGCTTAGTGGTGAGTGTGTTTTTCTGTTGCATTTTGCTTTTGAATGTACTTCGGTTGGGTTGGGTTTCTTTAGGAAAGCCGTGCCAGGATGGGCAGACGAGGCTGGAAGCCAGCCTGCCGTGTGGGTTGGCTTCCGTTCTCCCTCCCCAAACACAGCATCAGCGATCTGGGCTGCACAGGCTGTGTTTGCACGAGGAGTCACTTGACATACAAGGGATTATGGGTGTGAGCATTGGCCAACTGCGGCTGGTGCCTGCAAAGTCTCATCCAGCATCATGAAAGTAAGAGCAGTTCCGTGGCTTTAGGTGAGGCCTTTCCAGCAGTAGTTGGGATTTTTTGCTTTGGGTCCTCTGACCTGACCTCTGGCTTCCAGTGCTGACCAGTGTCATGTCCTCCTGTGACATGGGTAGTAAAGTTCTATAATAATACACCTTTTAGCTGGGCCTCCAGATAAAAGCATTTACTGATGCAACATACATGAGGAATCCCAGAGTGGTTTGGATTGGAAGGCACCTCAAAGCTCATCCAGTTCCAACCCCTGCCATGGGCAAGGACACCTTCCACTAGAGCAGGTTGCTCCAAGCCCCTGTGTCCAACCTGGCCTTGAACACTGCTAGGGATGGTGGGATGGAGCATTTACAACTTTCTTGGGCAGCCTGGTCCATTGCCTCAGCACCCTCACAGTAAAGAATTTCTTCCTTACATCCAACCTAAATCTTCCCTGTTTAAGTTTAAACCTATTTCCCCTTGTCCTGTGCCTACAGTCCCTGATGAAGGTCCCTCTCCAGCATCCTTGTAGCCCCCTTCAGACACTGGAAGCTGCTGTGAGGTCTCCACGCAGCTTCTCTTCTCCAGGCTGAACAGCCCCAATGTTCTCAGCCAGTTTTCATATGGGAGGTGCTCCAGCCCCTGAGCATCCTTGTGCCCCTTCAGCAGTTCCATGTCCTTCTTGTGTTGGGATCCTTGTAAGGTTTACAAACCAAGAGTCTTTTTTTTCTACCTTCAACAGTCTTTCCACCCAGCAGTAGCTCAGGAGCAAAACTCAAGAGGTTGATGAACAAGTTCATGTGAAGGCAGTTTTACTTGTGAAGGCGGCTCTCCTGCGCATTTGTGTTCCTGCAGCTCTGTGGGTTTCCTTGGAAGGAGGCAAGTCTAAAACAACAAGCTTCTTGCTATGCTGTTGACACTACTCGTGTTTGTTTTCCCTAGGGTGACCTGACAAACCTGGTGCACGGCAGCCACTGCTCCAAGTACAGGCTGACACGAATCCCAGGTACCAACGCCTTTGTGGGAATCGTCAATGAGACCTGCGATTCACTTGCCTTCTGTGCCTGCAGTATGGTAGACAGGCTCTGCCTCAACTGCCACAGGTGAGCAGGAGATGGATGGGAAATGAGGCTCCAGGCATTTGCTGTTTCCCTCTTTCTTGCTTCAAGGTTTATAAAAAGCACATTTATTTTATAAGCTAAATGAAAACATGCAGGGCAAAACTGAAGTGAAAATGCAATAGTTACTTCACCTACACTGATGGTGAGAGACACAGTGACTGGGCACACCTCTAGTCCTTTGCCATATTGTCAGTAGGGTAGTTTGTTCTTGAGTTGTGAGGAAGAAATTCTTTACAATGAGGGTGGTAAAACCTTGGCACAGGTTGCCCAGAGGTGGTGGATGCACCATCCCTGGAGACATTCAAGGCCAGGCTGGATGTGGTCCTGGGCAACCTGATCTAGTGGAAGGTGTCCCTGCTTATTGCAGGGGGGTAGACTAGATGTGCTTTGGAGGTCCTTTCCAACCCAAGCTATTCTATGATTCTATGTCAAAATGCCACAACAGATTTAGTTTCTCAGAGCAGGTATTTGTGGATCAGGCCCTTTGTTCAGCATATTAATACCCACAATTTTCTGTGTCTTGATGTAGTTTTCTTGTTGAGGGGATCCTGGTACTTGCAGGAGGTTTTGACTACACCAGCATCATTACACTGGCAAGAGGATCATAGAATAGTTTAGGTTGGAAAAGACCTTTAAGACTGATTCCACCATTAACCCAGCACTGCCAGGCTACTTTGCTTTGCTGTAGCTTCTCCTCTGCCTGGGCTGGCTGTGAGGAGTGAGGACAGATTTGGGACTTGTCCAGGGCTGAAATGTCAAGGAGTGGGTAAGAACAGAGCGGGGAGACTCTGCTTCTGCGTTATCCTCAAGCCCAGTGCAGAACAGAGCAATCCCTGTGTTCCTGTGGGAGGGAGAAAGGTGACCGAACAGCCCCCTCCGGGGTGAGCCGCTGTCAGAGCCGCACCGCGGGGCTCACATCATGAGCCTGATGCGATCCGTGTGTGTTTTCTTCCCGAAGAATGGAGCAGAACGAATGTGAGTGCCCGTGCGAGTGCCCCCTCGAGGTGAATGAGTGTACCGGCAACCTCACCAACGCCGAGAGCAGGTGAGACCCAACCTCCCCGATGCACAGCGTGTGGCAGTTGCCTGTTTGTTCGCACTAACTTACAGGATGGAACAGGCATTAGTTTTAGTATAATCAAGCAGATGATACTTAATAGGTAAAAATGATGGTTTTCATTGTGCTTTGACTATTTCTGTAATACAAGGCTCTGCTCTTTGCCCTGCTATAGGAATCCAAGTTGTGAAGTTCATCAGGAGCCAATGACTTTCACAGCAATTGATCCCAGCCTGCAGGATGCTCTCCCACAGTGCATTAACACTCAGTGCAACCAGAAAACAGAGAGCGGGTAAAGTGGCCTTCTCCATCCCTCCAAATACACTGTGTACTTGAAACAGTTGAACGAAAATAGCTCTTCCTTACACATTATAAAGAAATAAAAAGGTCTGGTGGCAGAATGAGATCTAATAGCACACACCAGTGATGATCTTATGCTACAGTGCAGAAACAGAAGACCCCAATATTCCTGTTTGAGTTGCATGACACCATTAATAGCAACCAAATGGCTTTCCTGTCACACTTTGTGACTCTGAGAACTGAGGGTTGTGCAAGTGGAAGATTTGCTGTCAAAAGGACAACAAATTCTTCCTCTTTAGCAAAATGGGTAGTGCTGTGATGTTTGTCTGCCTGCTGGGGATATGTGTGGGCTAAAGTGTTCATGGAATGCAGACGGTACTTTGGCAGTGGTGACTTTGGAACACATCAGAGGTGGTAGCTCCCTGTCCACTTCTAGCTTCTTGCTTCTCTGTTCTACTCCAGCATTACATAGAGAAGCTTAAGGGCTATTTTTTTTGCTAGCTGAAAGAAGTCTCCAGGGAACTGAGACTGCAGGAACATCTCGTGCTCTGACCAGACTTTCCAAATCCTTTCTTCTATCTTCCAAAGGACTGCAGAAAAAGGGTGGAACCATAGTCAGACCTCACCACACTGAGGAATGTCTTGCTGGAGGGGTTTCAAGTAGGATTTGCTCAGGCTGAGTGATGGAGGAAAAAACCAGAGCAAACAGACTTGGGAAATGCATGCTGAAGATGCAGCTTCCCTGTATAACTTCCTTGGTGGTACTTGAGCAGTTTAATGACAAGGTTTTGGTGGACAAACATTATGTATGTGAGGGTTTATGGACAATTTTTCCTCCCTCTTCCTCACGATGCTAAAATACACTGAGCTATGCCAAACAAAAAGTGTTGAACTTGAAGGTAAAACCAGTCTTCTTTTGCTTGTAATTTTCAGGGATTGCTTTGGTGTGTTGGACTGTGAGTGGTGTATGGTAGACAGCGATGGGAAGACCCATCTGGATAAGTCCTACTGTGCCCCTCAGAAGGAATGCTTCGGTGGCATTGTGGGAGCCAAGAGCCCCTATGTGGATGACTTGGGAGCAATAGGTAACTGCCTTTCTGAATAGGTGCTGCATTTAACTGTGCTCAACAACATGTGCTTTCAGTGTCAGAGCATGCTTCTCATAATGTGTCTGTATATATAATATATATACTA